GTCCCCGTTCGCCCCCGCAGGCCCAGGCGGGGACTCGGCGCGCGGAGGGGCAGACATGTTGTGCCGGGCGGCAGCTGAGGCAGCTGCTGTATTTTTTCTCGCCTCACGCCGCTCTCCTTTCCAGGCCCGGAGATCGTCTTTCACGTGCTTCAAAAACATGAGTTGGCCGATAGTGGCCTCTCCGCTCCCGTCCGTGTGCGCAGGCCGCTTCCCTGGCCCTCGACAGCAGTAAAAATCGAGCCTGAGAATAGTTTTCCAGACCAGTAATACTTGAAGTGACTTGTTGGGCTTGTACCTGCGCTCATTTTCCATAGTGCCCTATGTTTACCTTTTCTTTTCTTTTGGCAACTCTTGAAATTCAAACCAGTTCGCTCCTACTGAGTCAACCTCAACCAGATGCACCAAGAATTTAATGTCCATGGCAGAGCTTGTGTTGGAAGCGGTGGTCTCATCCCTGAGGTGTCAACAAAAGTTACTCTATGACAGGGAAAAAAACCCGTTTGGGATTTTGGGGTCGGTGCCGTTGGCAGCCATTTTACTGAAGGGAGCGCGAGCTCGGTGTGTAACAGCACAGGGGCGAGCAGAGCGTGGCCCTCTGTGGGGGTTTGTGCTTTCTCCCACGTACTGGCCTGGAAAAGGGTTTGAGAACTGGACATCTCGGGCGCTAGGTACGAGCTCGCGGTTAGATCCTCCTGGACTGTTCCGGTAGGTAGAGTCCTCTTTTATTTGCTTTAATGAGAAAACACTTTATGTTCTTTTTTTTTTTTTTTTTTTTTTCAGAAATACCTGCCTGCCAAAAATAGTTCTGCTTGTAACATGGCAGTTCAGGATTAAGTCAGTAAGAAACTGTTGGCAAGTTTGTCTTGGAAGTGATTTCATGAGGAAGTCAATTAAGAAGTCCCACTGCCAAACACAAGTTGTGGCCATTCACTTTCATTAGGGAAGCTGAAATCATGTCGTGTGTGTATGACTTTTTTTTTCTGTATATTTAGCACAGACTACCCATAAAAATGTAGTTTCCTGGTTTATGTGGAGATCTAGAGACTGATAGTACAGAAAAACCACTAATCACAAATTACTTTATGTCCTCATTCATTCCTACTGTCCAGCCCAGCCTTTGGACTCTTATAGTATGTGGAACCAGGGATTCTCTGACACAAGGAAATGATCACAGGACGTAAGTTGTAGAAAATCATCCTGTTTTTCTCCTGGTCGCTACTGTCAAAGGGCCTACAGGACTATTTTACTTAAGAAGGAAGCTAAGCATGGGAACTAGGAAGGGGTTGTTGTTGGTCTTTAAGGCTAGCTCTCATTCTCTTCAGTTTTACGGACAGCAGGATCTTAGGTGCAAGTTTGGCCTTTAATTGGACTGGGGATTTTGTCCTCACTTCTGACTTCTGTTGAGCAGCAGTCTTGAAGCAGGCTATGAATTTCTTTTTAACCCTTAGGCGACTCTGAATGTGCGTTTTGTGTTTGATTTGTTGAATGGGTGGAAGAAATCAGGGACAGGGAAAGTGAAGTGTGTGATGGAACTTAACCAAACACTCAAGTAGGTAGAAGAGATGATGATGTAAAGGATTTGGACCAGAGTCTCTCTGACAGAAATAGATGAAAACTCATTGGAGAGCTTTAAAAAATAGCTGGGTTAGCTGTCTGCTGTGGCCCTTCACTGAAGCTTTGTATCGTGCACAGGAAGGATGGCCAAAGAAATCCACTCTTCATGTGCTTTCCGGGTTGTGTTTTCAGTTCAGCCTCTTCTTCCCTCAGGTTAGAAGCTAGAGCCTGGGTGAGGGTGGCTGAGATACACAAACATGTTTTGCTCTATCCTGTCACTTACAGTAAGGGGATCCCCCTGGAGAGAGTAAATAAGGACAAATTGTGATAATATTTTATTATTGCTCCTGAAAGACTAGCTAGTGCTTGACTATTAAAGTCCCTATTCTCCTCTTATGACAAATAACATCACGTTCCCAGGTAGCTGGCATGTAATTTTTTTTAACATCTGTGTTTCTTTGGCTGCAGAACTATCAAATGAGTTAATTGAAGTTCATCCCGTTCATTTAGATGCTTACATATTGTTCCTTGGCAACTTTTATGCCGTTTTTAAGTTCATTCAAGTTCTTAAGTTGTTTGAAGTGCAGTAATATGCTGAAAACATAAATATAGACTTCACTTCTTACTTGAGGAATTCTGCAGATTCACAGTTCTTCAGTGTTAAAATTACTTTATTTCCCCTAACATTTAGTGGAACCAAGTACACCTCTGCTGTATTGCTGTATTTTGAAAGCTATTTGAACTGTTTTTCCACTTCTATAGCAGTTACGGTTTAGAAAATTCTGGTCTACAAGTTTTCACATGGTGCCGTATTCCTCTTCTGTTTATTTTTGTTTTGGTTCCTCAGCCAGTTTTTAGGGTCTGGGATAATCTCTGCATCCTCAAGGGCAGCCACTCAGTCGCAATGGCAGTTTGTGTAGCCAAAGTCTGGTAGCAGTTTCTGTCTGAAAAGGCTTTGGGATGCACCGCCCCTGTGCTGGGATGATTGACATTCTGACTTTGAACAGGCAAGACAGGAGTTTAGTTTCTCTCCGGTGTCCCCTGATTCCCATCTAGCTGTAGTTAACTCCCAGTGTCCAGGAGCAACTGCTGTTGCAAGGACCTTCCTTATAGGTAGCTTTTTACTTTTATCTGCTGTACCCCCTACAACATCTGTAAGCCTGGTAATTTATTGGTTCAAAATGCCATATAGCTCTGCCAATTTTTGAAGGGAGTTTCTGACCACCTGAGGCTCTGCAAAAGGCTTTGGGTTGAAGATGGAATTCATAAGCTCTGTTGTAGGTGCATCCAGTGGCCTTCCTTTTGTCCTTTGGGTTTAAGGAATGTGCATGGGTACGGTCTGTACGGTTCACATACCCATAGAAATGGATGCACATTAATTTGTTACCTGTTGCAGCTTCCTTTTAAGAGAGGAAAAAAGGAGGGCAGTTTTGGAAAGGTAGGTTTGGTAACTGATTGTTCTGTTCCCTTAAAATTATGTTGCCTCTCACTTGCAACATGTTACCTATGTTACTAGGGCTTGTTGTGAGCCTTGGAGACGGTTTTGAAGCAATCTGACTGCCCTAAATGCCTCCTTGTTGTTGTTCCTCTTTAAGTGTCCAAGACGAGAGGCAGTATCACATAGTCTGTCTTGGCAAAAGCTCAATCTTGAGGCTGTCACAGGGACAGGTAACACCGTGTTGGATGTATGTCATCCCTTGCTGCTTGCTGAAATGATGTATTTTTAAAGACATAGTGAACATAACCGCTGCTGCCACAGGCTTCATTCCACTGCTGGCATGCTCCTACCTGCTTCTTCCACCTCTTCCTGTCAAGGTTTGATCCCTTATGGTTATTTTGTGCCTAAAAGAGCTATGTGAAGCCAAAGTGCACAGCCAGCAGCTTTGCCTGAAAGGCTTTCACAGTTTGCCAATGCTTGCCACTTCCTTAGGACAAAGGAAGATTTTCATTGTTTTTGTCAAAATCAAGCCAAACTGTGCATCATTTTCTGTTGTGACCTTAGACCTTGGTACTTCAGCACTACTTTGGGAAAACAGTCTGGTATCTAACAAGGGAAGTAAAAGTCTTGTTTTGCTCTTGCACTTGGCTAGTGTGCAACTTTGAAGAGCTTCTCAGGAACTGATGGATTCAAATTCTTCCTTCTTCTATCAAATAAGTCTTTTGGTGTGTTCGACTTGGAAGGAAATGAGATAATTATCTTTCCTATATTTTCTTGCCCTTTACTTTTCTCCTTTTGGTCAAGGTAAATGAATTGGCTGCTGTGGTTTACTGAGCTAGAGCTGCAATGACTTCTGTGCAGGTTTTACAGCAATATCCCCAAATCCTCTTGTTTTTCATGAGCACTTGACTATTTCTACTGGATTGCTAGGTTTAACTAATAGATCTCGACAGACTAAATTCTTACAACTCCTCCTGTCTGGGGAGCTGCAGCATTGTGCTTTAATTCCCCTATTTATCTGGGATTTGACACCAAATAGACTTAAACTCTTGTTATGGTTACAATGGCAGGGGTTACATGTGATTTCAGATGAGTCTGGCTAATTCTTTTAGGCAGAACATCTTACAGTCAGCAACATCTCACTGACCACTTCTTTTCATGAGCAGCTTCATGGCTATTTCCGTTTGAGGCTAGTAAAGTAGTTAGTATTTACTCTCAGAAAACATTTTCTTTTGAACTCCTGGAACTGTTATCCATGAAGAATATTCTCCTTTGTCTTACCAAAGGCTGTAGTTCCCAAAAGACCAGATAACAAAGACATTAGGACCAAAACAGGGGGTCTCAGGAGGGAAGAGGGAGAAGCAGTGTCTAAGACTCCCCGTATAGCCTTAACTCCTATGTTCTTTTTTTCTCCTCCAGTTCTAAAGCAGATGACTTATCGACTGCCATTCTGAAGCAGAAGAACAGGCCCAATCGGTTAATTGTTGATGAAGCCATCAATGAAGACAACAGTGTTGTGTCGCTGTCCCAGGTGCGTCAGCTGTCGAAGCAAAACCTTAAATGTGGCTAACATGCAAACTGCTGCTGTTGTATGTTACCTTGGAACATAACTTGGCGACATGAATCTAAGTGTTTGTATAAAAAGCTACAGCAGTTACAAGCGAGGGAGGTGGTTATTTGTTTTCTAACACTGTTTCATGAAAAAAATGTGCTCTGATTCTGAACTTCTGATTCTGATTTCTAAACTTGAAACTTTATTCTGCCTTCAGGACTCTCTCTTGTCCAGTGCAGTAGGATCTTTCACTTTCAAGATGTAATTCTCAAAAGTCAAGTAGCTCTCCTCAGATACTTGAATTTTTGCTTTGTCAAAAGCTTGTGCTAATGTTGTTGTTGTTTACAGGCAAAAATGGATGAATTGCAGCTGTTCAGAGGAGACACTGTCCTGCTAAAAGGCAAGAAGAGGAGAGAAGCAGTCTGTATTGTCCTGTCAGATGATACCTGCTCAGATGAGAAGATTCGCATGAATAGGGTTGTTCGTAACAACCTGAGAGTGCGCCTAGGGGATGTGATCAGGTGAAGATGAGTTTGCCGACAGTTGCCTATCCCTGGGTTGCCCAAGTAATTTTTGCACAGGGTCTGAACTGATTCAGTGAGTAACAGAAACAGGAAATACTGCTGTGTCTTCCAGATAGGCTTTTGTGTGTGTTGTGTCTTGCATCACGGATTGAATGTAGTTTACTTTTGTATGTGTCGCACGTGTACATATTTAGATTAATGCTAAAAAAAGATACTATTTTTTCCTGTAAATCACTTCAGCACTTTCACAAACCTAAATTCTATCACTAAATCGAGTAATTGAATTATTTAACAATTGGCACATTCTCCTTCCCAAATTTACATTTTCAGATGAACTCACAAATTTTTCGTGTCTGTTAAAACCGAAAACATAAAAAGGATTAAGCAGTATTGTGACTGATCTTAAAATGCCTTTACCTCAAGCACCCAACTGCCCTGTGACGAGCAGAAGTTAAAACTTGCTAGAAATGAGTGACAAAGCCAGGTAGCAAGCAGTCAAATACCAAGACAAAATATCCCCCAAAGAATTTATGTATTCCAATTTCTGTTATAAAGTTATTAATACAGGTAGTTATTAATTGCAAAAGTATCATAGGAATTTTGTTTTGGAATACTTGCAGGCAGTAGTGGGAAAAGACTGAAGGACACATCTTAAATCAACAGGAATGTTCTTCATGGGAGACAGGCTTTGTTCTGTGTGGAAGCTGGGTGTAATTGACTTGTGAGAGTTCCTTACATGTGGAAATTCTGTTTCATAGAAGACTTTCCCTCTGAATATTTTACTAATCTGAAATCTTCCATATGTTTTGGGAAAATTGGTGCCCAGAATTCCTAGGGTGAAATGAAGAAAAATCTTTAAATGCAAAATACATTTCATGTGAGCTTTATAGAGCAGATGAATGAGGCTGTTGCGCCTCTATTTCTACCACTAGAAAATTCCAGTTTTAAACACTAGTGTAGCTGGAATAGAATAGTGTTTTGAGACAGACTGGCTATATTTGTGGGTTTAAAATCAAGGTAGATTCTTACTTTAAACTGCTGTGAACTGGTTACTGTCAGACTCTTTGGAACTGGTTACTGTTGGAGTCATTTCTAGTGTGATATTTCTAGTGTGCTCTCCTCTGCTGGGACTGTGTAGTGGTTCAGAGCCTTCCAGGTGTGATACCAATTTCCTTAACTGTATTACAAGGGTCAGGTATCTTTTGTACCTCCTTGCCCTCAAGATTTTCCTTGCTGATATCTAATTACTTACTGTATTTATTTCCATGGCTTGTCCTCTGCCAAAACACAGGCTCGTGCTTTAATCACTTTGTGCTTGTTATCTCTCAGCTGTTTTCCTTATGAAGTGGTCTGTCTTTTTTTACCCTCCTTTGCTCTCAGGAGAGAATGTGCTAAAAAGCTCTCTTAAAAGTGTCTAACAAAGTAATGTATGAGAAGGAGCACACTTGGTTGTAGTTCTCTGCAAACTTTTTTTTTGGCTGGCAAAGCTGGTTTGAGGTTTTTGCCTCCTTGCAGCAATTCGCTACTCTGAAATATTGCTACAATAATTTGCTGTCCCACACTGTAATATAATAACTGAAGTGTTTTTAATAGGAAAGGAGGAAGGGGAGTCTTTGCAAAGTGAGATTGACAGGTATCTTAACTGCAAGCTGCTTACCAATGACTGGTACTGAAAGCCTTTGCTCATAAGCAGGGGCAGCAGGGGGACTATTATAGAAGAGAGATGAAGAAGAATTTCTCCCAGCTCCCTATCTCTAACAATTGGTCCAACAAAAGCTTCTTGTAGAAACAAAAGGTCGCTGGTGACTTTCCCAGCTGTTCAGGATGCATTAAGCTGTTTGGGATGCATTAGTCAACTTGTAAACGTTGTCCTGGTGGGGAGAGGGAGGCTGCAGAAGAACTGGATGTAGGAAAAGGAGTATGAATCTCCAGCAGTTGTGGAGAGTGCTGAGGGGAATGAAGGAAAATGTAGAGCATGAAGATTAGTTCTGCCACAGGGATGTGTGCTGCCTTGGATCTCAAACGGGCAGGAGGTCTTACCAAGGCTTTGGAGGGTCCTTGCTCGTTGGGAAGAGATATCCCATGTCCTTCCCAGCTGAGGTGCAAGACCAGTGTGATGCAGCTAACTAGAGTTTTCTTCTGTTGCAGCATCCAGCCTTGCCCAGATGTGAAGTATGGCAAACGTATCCATGTGCTGCCGATTGATGACACAGTCGAGGGGATTACAGGAAATCTGTTTGAGGTCTACCTCAAACCGTACTTCTTGGAAGCATACAGACCCATCAGGAAAGGTAATGGCACCTGCTGCAGAGTTCCTTGTGACACTGGTTCTGGTCTAGTCCTAGACTGGTTAAAGAGAA